GCTCAATTAACGATCAAATTTAGACATGACAAGACAAGCAGGAGTTCGTTCAAGCAACAGTTGGCCAATTTTCACAATCAGCCAATCACGTGCCAATGTTAGGGATATAAATATCACAGGCATCTTACAAACAGACAGACTAAACAAAATGATTTGTAAAGCAATGACTAACATTGTGATCCACCTCTCAGGCCTTTCCAGAACACAATAAAGCACCATATTCGATTTACAGTTGAAGATTTCAACTCACCGGCTTTTTGCAGCCGGGAAACATGAGTGATTGACACTAAGTACATTTAACACCAGCTATTGACCTGCTCTTAAACAATTATATGGATTTGAGTGACAGCTAGATAAATGGCGTTATAAAGGTGCTGCACTGCGTCTTTGTGTCATGAGGATAAATTGTCGCAGTGAAGAGATTAAGAGTTGGCTTTTGCATTAGTTCAAATTCTTTCTATATAGTTAGATAATACGTTGACACACTATTCAAAATGTATGGAAGAAAGAGTACAAAAAAAGTCCTCAAACCTTTCAAAAAGTAATAAAATTAAATGGAGATCAATGGAGCTTGTAAGTTGTTTCGTCACAATTATGTTTAAGTTGTTTTTTAACAAATATCAATTAAAAACTTGTATATTTTAAGAGTATTATTCTGTACTTTTAAGGTGTTTTATCACCTCTATGCATTTTTTCCATGTCTGTCAGTTTTACCTGTCTCTTAAAGGGATAGTTCACCCAAAAATGAAGGTGTTCAATTCAGGCCTTTATTAACCCCCTGGGGCCGTGTGGAGCTCGTTTATGATGGATACGTGGAATTTTATGGACTTTACTGCCATTATAAAACTTGGGAAAGCCAAGACATTTTTTTTTATATAACTCTGATTGTATTCTTCTGAAAGATGAATGAAGTGACATTATTATACATACGGCCAAAAAAAGTCTCGATTTAAATAAGCAAATTCTTAAATCATTATTGCAGTGATTATTCTGTCTCTAGCATGTTACAAGTTTGGCAACAGTTCTTCAAACCCTAATTGATGGATTGTGTAGCTTTTTACTTTAGAGTGCTGAAATAAAAAGTGACTGTTGCATTGAATGATTGATTGATTGATTGATTGATTGATTGATTGATTGATTCAAGAGTGAGTGAGTGAGGGATTTATACAGTGATTTCATATGTTCTACTGTATACCCAAAACACTTTACAATCATATTAGGAAATCTGTCCTCCACCACCAGCAGTGTGCAGCATCCACTTGGATGATGTGACGGCAGCCACAAACCAGTTATAGGTGGAGAGGAGAGAGAGTGATAGAGCCAATTTCAATGGAAAGGGATTATTACGAGGCCGAAGGATACTCTAACAAGAACTAGACCAAAAATGTATGGACCTCTTGATGGAAATAAATGTTTTGAAGTTATTTCAATCAAGAGGTGTATGCATTTTTGGTCAAGATCTTGTATTGACAAGACACTCTGTAAAGTCTCCTCCAGCACATCCCAAAGACTTTCAATGAATGTAAGGTCTCTGGACTCAACGATTCTTCATGCTGCCTCCCAACCATTCTTTCACAATTTGAGCCTGATGAATCTTGACATTGTCATCCTAGAATATGACCATGACGTGTCTTCCTGGATGGTTGTTTAAGAAATGAAAAGCTACACACTCCATCAATTAGTGTTAGAAGAACTGTTGCCAAACATCCAACATGCTGCAAACAGAATAATCAAAGAGAACTTTTTCTTCAGTTGTGATGTTAACAGTTAAACTGCATGTAATCATATCATAGTATTGCACACACTACTTGTATCCTTACTGTGTATGTCAAGAAGCTTGAAACCAGCACCCTGTTACACTGTCACCACATGCAGAAAAACAGCAGACGCATTACCAGGGCTGACGACACTCGCGAGGCCTGGTTACTGCCACCGCGTCCGGCCTGGAGCCCCATCGGGACGTCCAGAACGCAAGTAATACCATTACAGAGGCTGCCACAAACCCAATGAGATTATAAACCTGCAACTGGTTTAGCGGAAATTCAACTATAACGTTCTTTCATCTTGTTTTACAACAAGTCCTTGCGTCCTAAACTTGGTTTGAATTTGGTTGTTTGGATAAAAAATTGTCTTAACGGCAAGGTTATTATTACTGACTTTTATGAAATATAATATGTTACGTTACTTTTTCTCACCTGGGCTGGGCTTGCTTGTTTGTTTGTTTTAATCTAAATAACACATTTCTATTTTTGGCAATGTAAAAGCCCTTTTACACCATCTGTCTCAGGACAGATTCACATTTTCAAAAATGAAACATAAATGTGATGTTTTTTGCTTATACTGTAAGTATGATTGAAATGGATCATAGAAGATCAAGGACATTGGTTAATAAAGGGATTTTAAATACATAAATTAGGTGTCATTCAACATTTGAATTGTTCCAAGTTTGCTTAATAGTTTGTATTCATTTTAAGTTATACTGAATCTGTCTTTGTGCAAGTGAGATGAGTAAATGCCTGCTCACATTTAGTCTAGTAAATTGGCACACAACACCACTGTAAATTTGAAAAAGTATTGCGTTACTTTACTTGTTACTTGAAAAAAGTAATCTGATTACGTAACTCACGTTTCTTGTAAAGCGTTACTCCCAACATTGGTTATTTTCATCAACTACTATTTTTTAAAAACTTGCAATACTACTAACTATTAATACACCATTGAAATATAATACAATTTAAATATTATATATATAAAAAATATTTCTGTTATTTCTAATTTGCGTTTAGTTTAGGTAGAAGCACTAAAATTACTAACTAGAAATAAAACTGAAATAAAAAATAAATTAAACATAAATAGTAATATTTAGAAGAACAAACATTAATATCCCAAGTTACCTCTTTGGATGTATGTACAATGTACAAATCATTCAGGAGATTGCCAAAGCTTGGAGGGGGTATATCATTCATAATTCTGGAAACGAGCAGTCTAAACTTTTCCCACCATCTGTACGATAATCTCATTCCAAAACTGAGTCTTTTGCGTCACTCGTGTCATTCCCAGTCTTCTCACATCCACACTGCTTCCGTTCGGCCTATTATTCCTCTAATAGCCCATGCTAAGAGGCCCCCGGTGTAGATATTGGGCTTGGACAATATGCGCTTACACGCTGCCAGGTGTCCTGGGACACGTGTAGGTTTGGGACGCTGCCCTTTAATAGGTGATGAGAAGGGAAGTGACATTGTGAAAGGAAACGACAAAGAAAGTTGTAATTGCCCGACGTGCGTCATCAGACATCTGTCTACACTAACTGTGATCTAATGGTGTTGACCAACCTAGAAGAGTTTCAATGTCTTTAAACACGCACGTGGGATAAAGCTGAACAATGTTACTCTAAAAGAAGTTCAGATCAGGGAAAGTAGATGGAAGAAATGCATAGTATTTACTAATTACTTGATGGGTTTGTGCAACCAAAAATGAAAATTCTGTCTTCACTTTCTCCTCCTCGTTCATCTTCAGAACAGAAATGAATCGAAGAGATTTCTGCCCCTCTGTTGAAAGTCTATTCACCCAAAGATCTGATGCTTCAAGGAGATTGGTAAAGAAATCCAAAAGAATTGAGCAGTTTAACCCAAGTCTTCTGAAGAGACACGATCCCTTCATATGATGAACAGATTTAATTTAGGCTTCACGTTAAACATTGATCAGCAAATTTACATGGTGCACTCAAATCTGGTAAAGGCATGCTTTCAAATGGAGGGACAAATTTATGTTTTCAAAGATGAAAGAAAGTCTTACGGGTTTGGAACGAAATGAGAAATTAATGACAGAATTTTACATATTTGGATGAACTGTTCCTTTAAAAACGTAATTAGTAAGTACTATGCATTTCTTAAATATATTTGAATTTGAAAAGACAATTCTCAACATGAATCATACTTTACAACCCATTTTAATTATAGTAGGCGATATGATACAGGATATTCAATGAGCAAAAACATTCTTCTTTTTTTAATCAGGATGGTTTTTGTTCAAAACCTTTTTAAAAATCCATGGATTTCACTCAACAATCAAAAAGTTGAATGAGCATTCCATACCAGAATAGAGGCAGGTGCAGAAAAGGACATTGAGGAGTAGAAGTTGTTCATTTTTAATAACTTTCTTTGAAATAAGACTATGAACATGCATTAAGAAAATAAAGCAAGGGTGAATTCAGATTACCCGTTGACTTGAACTAATAATCTGTGAGGTATTATATAATTAATAAATAAATAAATATATTATATATATGTATATATTATTCATTCATTTCAATCAGTTGTGTATCTTTGGGTTAAGCATCCTTAAAGGGATAGTTCACTTTGAAATTAATTTTTGGTATGTTATAGCTTACCTCAAGGGCATCCAAGAAGTTGGTGTCTTTTTTTCCGCAGTAGTTTCAATTTTAATATTTTTAGGACAAACTGTTTGCGTCTACAGATCACTTGGACGTGGCTGTGTTTACAAGAGGTAAAAACGATATAAATACTGTTCGTTTTCTCACACAAACCGCTCGTTTCGTGTCTTAGGCCATCAATGTGTACTTACATTTACGAGTCATTAAATCATGTTTAATTTGGACTTCTCTGTGCATGCTCTTTGAGGTGGTGACCATAGACCTCCATTATATGACTGACAGACAAGAACGGTTTGACCTAAAAATATCAAAATTGAAACTACTGCGGAAAAAAAGACACCAACTTCTTGGATGCCCTTGAGGTAAGCTAAAACATACCAAAAATTAATTTCAAAGTGAACTATCCCTTTAATGCTTCAGTGTTTACTTGATATGATGATGACAGCAGATTGCTTTAGTGTTCTATCTACACGCAAAGGATCACACGCACCATGCAAGGTTCTTCAGAAGTTAACTTATCATCGAATGTGTTTAAGGTATAGGACTGATATGAGAACCCAAAATAATGCGTTGTCCTACACAGAGGTGAATGGTTGCGTTTACTCACTTGCTGAGGGGTTGTCGGAGTGAACCGGTGGTGTCGAAGGGACAAAATTAGGGAAAAAGAAGGAGCGAAGTGAGTGGTCTGAGTGGAGAGGAGAGCGTTGGGTCGGCAAGTTTTCACAGCTCCCAGCAACACTGCTGTGGATCTTCAGGTTCAACGGCTTGTTCTTTTTTTTTGTTCTACAAAGAGAGTTTGAGAAAAAAAAAAACAAGTGAGCCCAAAATAAGACAAGATCACAATGTTTACAATGTTTCATCTGGTTTCCAAACAAACACTTGCACATCAAGCTTTACCATGACAGATTTAGCTTCAAAACTCAACATAAATAAACCCGCATGCGCACACACGAACTCATGTAAGGATGCACAAAAATAAATATTACAGCTTGAGTGGCTTGATTAGGGTTGGTTGAGCATTGTAACTAGTCACAGATTAGTTAGGAAGGAAGAGGAAAAAGGTAAATAGCGGATTTCTCTCGTCTCAGGGGAAAATGAGAGAGTGTTGCACGACCATTCAATAGTATGACAGGATTTCTAACAATGGAAATCTTAATGCAAATGGGTGGAGTGTCCCTTTAAGGGTGAGTAAATGATGACAGCATTTAAATTTTTGGGTGAACTACACTCTTAGAAGAAAAGGTTCTATATAGAACCTTAAAAGGTTCTATCAGCGCTACGTATTTGGAACCCTAAAAGGTTCTATACACTCTTAAAAAAAGGGTTCTTCTGGGTTCTATATAGAACCCTGGGGTTCCATACTTGGCCAATTGAACCTTTTACCAAAAAAAATGGTTCTATATAGAACCATTTTGGAGTTCCATATGTAAAGCGGGGGATGGAACCATTTCTGGTTCTAAATAGAACCATTAGAACATTTCATATTGATATAATAAATGAACAGCATACTATAATCCAGTCCTTTTTTTTTTTCTCAAATCATCTTCTGGGTCAGATTGAAGCCAAATTTGCGTTTGACAACCCAATATTAAAGTCTAACTAGACTGCTTTTTTATTTACCATATTGGAAAAAGCTTGAGTTGACATCAAAAGAAAAGTGTGAGCATCAAATCATCCCTGATTGGCTCTTTTCATTGGTCAGATGACTCTCTGAACGCACTTCTAAATGTAAATCAATGAACACATTGCATTTGATTTTACCCGGTTTAAATGTGTTGTCCGTTTGGTAAAAGCATTGAAGTTTATAAAGCTTTGAACTAGGAGGGAGATGCAGACATGTAAACTAATAGCGAATTAAAATGGCAACTCTTTCAACATAATGCAAATCATAAACATGAAGATTCTTTTAATGATCCAAAAAAGGGAACTAATGTTCACCAATGGTTGGATGTTTTGGTGCATTGAGAGTGTGTTTGCTTGTCTACCACCGATGCGCAAGACTCTGAGAGGCCAGCACAATGCATTAGTGTGTGGATATGACAAATACTGACAGTGTGTGTGAGAGAAGCTTTCTTATTGTGCAGGGATAAGCAGAACGGTGAGGTGTGTGAACGCAAAAGCAAAGAAAAAAGAGAGACAGAGAACAGCAGAAAAACAAACAAATAGAGAAATAAGGGTGACAGGCAGAACAATTGACTGGCAGCAAACTACTGATGACAGATTTGCATTCGTTTTTCCTTTCTTTGCCATCTTGCTTTCTTTATTTTACTGTCTTGCGGTTTAAGAGGTGTAAAGTGCCAACTAGTCTGACGTTTGATGAAAATATTACACCATGTGAGGTCTGACATATATGTTAAAACAAAACGAAAATCCATAGGGCAGACGACTGATTGATTAAAAAAAATGTAATTAAATCACGTGACATTTGAGAAAGGCTCCCAAAATGAAGATAATTCAAACATAACCTAATCATTGAATAGACTTTAAAAATAGTTTCTATTCAATAAAGTCAATAAAATTAATATATCATTTACATATCAATGACCTACAGGCCACAGGAATAAAGAGATTGTTCTAATTAAAATAATTTCATTATTCTCAATTTTGGGTGGAACTATCCCTTTCGATGTAGCATGTAAAATTAAATAAAATCTAAAATAATATAAACAAAAACAAACAAATTAGTTACATATCATTCAATTTCTAAATCTAAAAAAAACAGTACATTTTGGAGATTTGTCTAATATTGTCATAATGCATTTTTAAATGAGAATTCTTAATTATGGGGGAACTATCCTTTTAAAAGTAAACCTTTTTTAATGAAGAGAATTTAAAACATAAAGATTAGAAATATTAAATAAAAGAGAATGTATTTTAAAATATAAAAATATTAATAGCATATATTATTTTAGTGTATAGTTTTACATATAAATAACATTTATTCCAAAAGAGGGAACATAATGCAACTCCAATGCTTTACTGACTGTGTCAATGAAAGCAGCCCCGGTGAGCGTGTTGTTTTTGTAGAGCTGTCAAAGTTTTTTGGACATGATCTGTTTGTTTTGTGTATGTGTGTGGCAATGCTGTCACCGATGACAATGATATGAAAGTGTCCAAGCGCGCAAGGCATTAGTGTGTGGATATGAATGACACATACTGACAGCAGATGTTCTTGAGGGTGAGTGAGTGAGTGAGTGAGTGAGTGAGTGAGTGAGTGAGTGAGTGAGTGAGTGAGTGAGTGAGTGAGTGAGTGAGTGAGTGAATGTGTGTGTGTGAGTGTGTGAGTTAGTGAGTGATTGAGTGCGTGTGTGAGTGAGTGACTGAGTGAGTGACTGAATGAGTGACTGAGTGAGTGACTGAGACTTTGAATGAAAGTTTAGTACTTAAAATTTTGGGTATGAGCTATGTTTATATATATATACACATCTATCCAGCCATCCATCTTATTTCAAAACTTTCAAACATAACTTTGTCAAGCCAACATTCATATAATTCACAAACTTTCCTTTTCCACACTGTAAGAAATCTTTTTTTTTTAAATATCTGTCCAAATATCTATACATTCTTAAATCAAGATGCATCACTAGATAAGTAAAACAGCATTAGATATTATGTCTTGTTTTCCGGTAAAAAAAATAAAAAATAATAAATGAATAAAATGAATTGAAAAAAAAATTGAAAAAATAAATAAATTAATAAATAAATAAAAAATGGGTAAATAAAAAATAATCTTGTTTCCATTCGAATTTCTGCAGTGAAGTTGTAAATAACATTTGACAGAAAAACACAATTTTGCAATGTTTAATGCAAAAACGTTACGTTATGCATTTTTTTTAATCCAGAGTGTTACTTACTGTTTCTTTGCAATTGTTTGTGAAAATTACTAGCAACATCTGTGACCAATTTTCAACCCCAATTTTTTTTCAGTAGAGTTAAAAATTTGTTAAATTAATTTGTTTTCAATTTTACTTTAATTGCAATTATGTATTCTATTTGCTACCTCAAAATAAATGTACTAATTGGATTGGAATTCAAAAATTCTCAATTCAATTCTGAATGCCGCATAACACAAAATCTGCCCATAAACATCACATTATTAAAGCAAACTGCAGCTGACCACTTTATATCGGTCAAATGGCGTCTTCCTTCCTAAGTGGGCGGTTCTTCTCTCTGGACTATGCAATAATGAGCAGTGAACTCAATGCCGCTAGACTGCTTATGAGAGACTGGAGCGTAATGCCTACGTGGACTCTCCCCTCAGTAAGACCAGTGCTAATAGGGAGGAACAGGGATAGTTAAGCTTCATTACACCTCAGCTACGCTCATTATTTGCAACTCTGCTATGCAGAACAGTGGGAAAATGTGCCACATAAAGGTGAAGGAGAGGAGCAGGAGGGCAATATAATTTATCTACTTAAGGGTTTATATTCAAGAAAAGATCAAGACTCACAACATAGACAGCATAAATGAGAACAAACAAAGTTTGTAATTACGTTAGTTAGCAACTGTTGTGCGAGATTATGAAAGAGTGAGAATAAGGTAACACTTTACAATAAGGTTTACAATTAGTTTATTATTTACAGCATTTATTAATCTTAGTTCATGTTAATTTCAACAACAAAGTTTAATAAATACTGTTCATAATGTTAGTTAGCACATAACGAACATTAACAAATGAGACTGTAAAGTGTTCCCTTAAAAGAAATCCATGGTAACCGTAGACTCAGATAAAATGCCAATTACCAGCTAATAAACATCATATCATTATTTCTCACACTTTTTGTTTTTTAAAACACCTAAAAATAGTAACAGTAACTATGACACCTTGGTGGAAACAATGGTTACCATGGTGAATTTTTGGAGGGGAAGAAAGGCTAATCTTCTTTTCTTATTAACCTAATAAGTACAGTGAAAAAAAAAAGGAAAAGCGATATTATATAAAAGGGAATTTCATAACAAACTAATAAATGAGTGTCTCTTTAAATGAGCAGCATTTCCTACTGTGATGGAAGTAATAATTCAGATCTCAGCCAGACTGCGCTGCATACATTTCACCGAGATGAAAGGCAGATAGGACGTGGGATCTGATTCATTGATATAGCTGGTCTCCAGATAATCGTTCAGGGTCTCCTGGCAGGTTTGTGTCCGACAGCTCGACTCCCGTCGGTAGTTCACGGCTGTGATAAATCAATGATACGCAGGGATGCAACTGAGGCCGGTCCCTCTTAAACACTCATTTAAATTCGCAATCATGACTCCAATCTGTGCGGGAGGGAGGAGAGAGCGGTTCATTACGAAGGAAACCAGACTGGGGAAAGGAAACCGGCCACACTGGTGCTTATACGCCTTTAACCTGACCGCTCATTAATGGGACGGAAAAAGAAAAGACTGGCATTAACATGGATGAGGTTTGTTTAATGGCCTGATCCCTCAAACACACAATGCTTAAACACATGTGCAGGGAGATTTACAGCCTAGGCCCTAGCACATATAATACATAGCGAGAAAGTCAGATTCACTGTAAGAAATAAACTGTGGCTGAGTGAAACTCACGCTCGAAAGTATTGAAAAGGAAAAAATGTAAAGAAGAAAAATTACATGGACCCTTTTCATATTTCCGGGTTTGTCAGAAGCAGAAGGTATAGTTGGGTAAAATGCTGGTGAACAGAAACTACAACAAATATATTTGTTTGCGTTGACATTTGCTCAGATAACAAAAGAAAAAAAATCCTTGATAGTGTTTCTGAGGTCACCAAAAAAATGGAGAGATTGATTATGTTGGT